CCCCTCGCCTCGCTGCGGCAAGGTGAGGCGCGTGGCTAAGGCGATCACCTCCAGGGGGGTGCGCCTTCGGAACCGTGTAAGTTAAATGCGCGCGCTTATTTGGAACATTCGTGGCTTCGGTCACTCGGGGCGACGCACCCAACTGAAGGAGTACATTAGAAAAGAGGCGATCGATATCGTAGGGCTACAGGAAACGATCAAATCTGAGTTTCAGCACTAAGATATCATAGCTATAGACCCCTTAGAGCGCTTTGTGTGGCAACATAGCCCAGCTCATGGCCACTTGGGTGGCATGTTGCTTGGTTTTTGTAGTGCCACTTATGAGGTGCTGACCTGGGAGGTTGGTACTTTCCTTATTGCGGCCAGAATCCGCGTGCGAGCGTCGCTTCGCGAACTCGCGATCGTGCAAGTCTACGGACCGGCAGATCACTCCCGTTCAGCTGAGTTCTTGGGAGAACTTGAAGCCAAGGTGCTCGATCTAGCTGCGGCTCAGATCCCGCTCATGGTGGGAGGGGATTTCAACCTGATCCGTTCGGGGGCGGACAAGAACAATGACAACATTAATTGGTCAAGGGTGGCCATGTTCAATAATGCGATTGCTTCTATGGCACTTAGGGAAGTGGCTAGAACTGGGGCGAGATATACTTGGACTAGCAAGCAACTAGCCCCGGTGCGATCTGTCCTGGATCGTACCTTCATGTCTCCGGACTGGGAAGTAGTGTTCCCTTTGTGCTCGCTCCTTGCTGAAACAAGGATCGGTTTAGATCATGTGCCTTTAATCTTATCTTCAGGGGAAGATAGAATCTAGCGCAGCCCGCGTTTCTTCTTCGAAACCACGTGGTTTTAGGTCCCTGACTTTGACGCAATCTTTAGGGAGAGATGGCTGCGAAGTGTCCACCTCTCTGGCCAGCAACGTGGCCCGATGGAGCTCTGGATCACGGTGGGGGCCCGCCTTCGCGCAAGCCTAAAGGGGTGGGGTGCGAACCAGGGGCGTGATGCCAAGGTCCTCAGGGTGAGGCTTCTGGCAGATATCGCCATCCTTGATGCGCAAGCGGACACGCGCCCTTTCTCGGAGCAAGAATGGGCACAACGCTACGACTTGGAAGGGCAAGTCGAAGCATTGCTGCGGGCCGAGGAGGAATATTGGAGGCGTAGAGGTGGCCTCAAGTGGATGCTCAAAGGGGACGCGAACACTAAGTATTTCCAAGCTTATGCGAACGGCCGGCGTAGGAAATGCTCAATCCTAAGGCTGCAGACGGAGCAGGGGCTCCTTCTTCAGCAATCGGAGATCTCCAACCACATCTACGACTTCTACATAAGTTTGATGGGGACGGACGAGGCACAGTGCGCGCGCCTGCGTGCGGATGTGTGGCTGTCGTCTCAGCGGGTGTTAGATAGCGAGAACGAGGAGCTAGGGCTTGCGTTCCTCCCTAAGGAAATCGACGACGCGTTATGTAGCATGAAAACCGACACGGCCCCAGGCCCTGATGGGTGGCCGGTGGCGATGTTTAAACATTTCTGGCCACTGCTACGTGGCCCTATATTCGATGTGTGCAACGGTTTTATGCGCGGCTTTGTGGACATCGCTAGGCTTAACTATGGTGTGCTCTCGCTCATTCCGAAAGTACCGGGCACGGACAACATCCGTCAGTACAGACCCATTGCACTCATTAATGTCCCGTTCAAAATTTGCGCAAAAGGTTGTGCCTCTAGGCTCTCGCCGATCGCCCATCGCATCATAAGTCACTCGCAGTCGGCGTTTATTCGCGGTAGGAACATCCTTGAGGGTCCGTTAGTCTTGCAAGAGACCCTTCACGAGCTTAGACGCACACACGAACCGGCGATCCTCTTGAAATTAGATTTCGAGAAGGCTTACGATCGCGTCAACTGGGATTTTCTTCGGCAAGTCCTCTCCAGCAGGGGCTTTTCGGCCGAGTGATGCAATTGGTCTCGGGGGGCCAGACTGCAGTCTCGATTAACGAAGAAGTAGAGAACTTCTTCAGGAACAAGCGTGGATTGCGCCAAGGTGATCCCATGTCACCGCTCTTGTTTAACTTTGTAGCCGACACGTTGGCTGCCATGCTGCGGAAAGCCGCGGAGGCTGGCCACATAAAAGGGGTGTTGGGACACCTCATCCCAGGGGGGGATTTCCCACTTGCAATACGCGGATGATACGCTATTACTGTTCCAACCCGACCTGCACAGCATTGCTACAGTCAAAGCACTGCTCATTAGCTTTGAACTTATGTCGGGTCTTAAAATAAACTTCCATAAGTGCGAAGTGATGTCTATGGGCATGGAGGTGCAGGATAGTAGGCGCGTCGCGGACCTGCTGAATTGCAAGTTAGGCAAACTTTCGTTTACTTATTTGGGCCTTCCGTTAGATGCTAAGCGCATTACGATCAACGGCTGGGCTCCGCTTTGGACCAAGGTGGGTGGACGGGTTTGTCCGTGGAGGGGAAAGTTCTTCTCCTCCGCAGCTAGGTTGGTGCTCACGAATTCGAGCCTCTCCTCATTGCCGCAATTCGCAATGGGGCTTTTCCTATTGGCCGAAGGGGTGCATGCCAAGATGGACACTCCCCGGTCCCGTTTCTTTTGGGAAGGAGCGGGACCAAAGCGCAAATACCACATGGTTCGTTGGGATGCGGTGTGTCGTCCGAAGGCCCAGGGAGGGCTAGGGATCACGAACACCAGAATCCTCAACATTGCGCTCATGTGTAAGTGGATCTGGAAGATGTCGCAAGGGGCTACGGGCCTGTGGATCGATCTGCTTCGTGCTAAGTACTTCCCGTCCGGGAACTTTTTCGAAGGTGTGGCGAGGGGTTCACCCTTTTGGAATGACCTTCAAGCGGTTCGGACAGCCTTCGCCTTGGGAGCCAAGTTCTCCATTGGCAATGGCCGTTCGGCACGGTTTTGGTTGGATCACTGGGTGGGATCTCAACCCCTCTGGTCCGCTTTTCTGGACCTGCACGTCCAGGCGGTCAACCCGGATTTGAGCGTAGCCACGGCGCTTGCCTCCTCCCCCCCTGAGATCTGTTTCCGGCGCGAGCTAACGGGAACGGAACTTGCCCACCTTGCGGAGCTGCGTGATCTCATCGCGCCAGTGTCGCTTTCCATGACCGCGGACACCGTGGCGTGGTCCCTCACCCCTTCCAGCAAGTTTTCGGTCAAATCTTTGTACCGAAAGATGTGCCAGAGCCAGGCCTTCCTAGTGCCAAAAGGCCTTTGGACCGCGCGCCTCCCACTTAAGATTAAGGTGTTCTTTTGGCAACTGTTTCGCAATAGACTGCCCACCTCGGCTGACGTTGCCAAACGGAACGGCCCGTCGACGGGTACTTGCGTGGTTTGCCGCGTGGCGGAAGATGCGAATCACGTTTTCTTCCGCTGCCCGTTAGCTTGCTTTGCTTGGAGCGCGGTCCGCGCAGCCACTAACACCTCTTGGAACCCGCGATCGACCTCGGATCTAGCGGTCATCATCGCCTCTGCTTCAGGAGGCAACAATCGCGTGCTGTGGAGCTGTATCGGAGCCCTAGCTTGGTCTCTCTGGCTAACTAGGAACAAACTTGCGATCGAGGGTATCTTCCCAACGCACCCAACTAATATCATCTATAAATGCAACCTCTTCTTGCAGCAGTGGAGTCCGTTGGCGAGGCGCAAGGATGCTGACAAGCTGAAGCATGCTCAAGATCGTCTGCGCTCCGTCTACGTTTTGGCTAGGGAGCCCCCCCGCCACGTCTCCGTCTTGATAGTGGCCCTTTTGCCCCGCGATCGAGCGAGCCTGCGTGCTCTAAGCTCTGGCTATGTGCCATGTACTCGCTTCGTACTTCGTTTGGTCAGGTCTTTCTCGCATAAACCTTATGTTAAAGCTGGCCGGGAGCCTCCGTGCTCATGTCGTCTGTTTCGGGACTAGGTCCGATCACGCTGCCTGTTGTGGGCTTTATTAATTTAAAGCCGGACGCGTCCAAGCGTCTTCGTTCTAAAAAAAAGTGCATCCTTGTACTTTGAAATCTCAATTTGTCCAAAGACTTCCATGCGTTCGCTAGAAAATTTCCCAAACGAAGATACCATTTTGACTTTCTTCTTCCAACTGCACTCATTTCTTTATGATTTGTTTACGTTTTTTCAGAAGTAACATTTTTCTCTTTTTCTTCCAAGTTACAGCATACGGAACTTAACATGGTACCTTCAATTTTGTACATAGGAACTTGTGCTACTTACATTACTAATAATAACTACTGCGTACAGCCAACGGAGTAGTTGTGATGAGGCGGTAACATCTATTTTTTCGGTGCGCACTCCGCACATGTCTCAACTTGTTTCTAGCTCATCTTTCCCCGCTCTTTACCCCTCGCCGGGTTCCTTTCTACCGGGATCATGTAGATCTGCCGTGTTCAAACTCCTAGCGGACGTTCCTGCCATCGCTTGCCGAAGGTCGACGACGACAATCGTTGACAACGACTACAACTACTGCCGGTGGTCTTCCACTTTCCCCTCGGAACTGGTGATATGGAAGAAAACCCCATTGGACGTCAATCCAGTTCATGAAATGGCGGTAAATCACATGCATCCTTGTTAATCTTGTGCAAATCAGCTCTGATTCCTCTATTCGTACTAATCTGCTTCTTCCTCCTTTTCTAGTGCCCAGTTTGTTTTGACTAGAGAGGCATGTGCGACCAGGAAGACGTTCTGAACATCCACAGCTGGTTTTGTGTCTTTTTCAAATCAGACTATAAAAGAACACCAACAAGTTTCAAATAGTGACTCCAATCTTCCTTTATCAATAAAAAGGATATTTCATTAATAATCCCAAAAGGAGCGGAGGGGATACACATTTGTTGTTCTGGTCGATTATCAGGGTGCGGAAATAGCTAGAACTTTTTTTAGACAAAAATAACAAACATCTTTTAGAACTGAATGTAGAAACTATGGTAAAACTTCTTGATGTATTTAAATAGAAAATAAATTGTCGCCTCATCAGTGTATGACCATGATTGAATTGGTTAATGTGAATAGAGTTCAGTCAGTTTGTGGTGTACCAGATTGGACTCGTAGCGTGCCGCCAATGGCACACTCCTGGTATGAGGTGACTCATCAACCTTTTCGAGAAAAGGCCATCGAATCGACTCGTCAACTGAACTCGTCTCGTCTCTACACATCAACTCGTGCACCATCTCGAGGTTTGCAACAATGCCTAATATGGCCGGTCGGGCCCTCCCAACCCACTTCACGCAGCATCGTGCAATCTGCGCCACACGCTTCAAAGCATGTAGCTTCCATGACGTTGGCTCTGATACAGGTCGCCTGTCCAGCAACTCCACAAGGTTACCGGCCTCGATGATGGGGGATGCGAAGCATGCCAGATCTTCCTTTATCTTCAACCCTCCTTGGAGAAATGCTCTTTCCCCTGTGAGAACCTCGAGCATCAGCACACCCAGGCTATACACGTCACTCGCGGGCTTCACACGACCTCGGAGGCAGTACTCAGGGTCGACATACCCAAATGTGCCCGTGACGGGGCACTCTAACCCCGATGACTCCTTGTCGCTTGCCACGTGCCAGGCAACCGACGAGCCAAAGTCTGACAAATGTGGTACCCAACTGGCGTCGAAAAGGATGTTACTCGACTTGATGTCACGGTGGATGATCGGCGGGTTGGCGTGACAGTGCATGTGCTCGATGGCGCGTGACACGCAGAGGAGCACCTCTATGCGCATCTTCCAGCACATTGTGACCGGCGACGGCGCTGAGGAGCCTTGGTCACGGTGCAGGTGGTCATAGAGTGTGCCGTTCTCCATGTACTTATAGACGATCAGCCCCTCAGCCTCCTCTTCCGGCTCCTTTCTCCGCCTGGTGGTTAACAGGCGCTTTTTTCTCTTGCCTATGACCGTAGTCACACACGATCCAAGAAGGCGGACGATGTGTCTATGTCGGAGCTGTGACATGATGTCAAGCTCCAGCTGTAGGTTGCCTGATTGCACGCGAGTTATGCGCTTGATGGCGACTTCCCGGCCATCGTGAAGCCTTCCCCTGTAAACCCGTCCACCGCCGCCATGGCCGATCACGGTGTCACGGGCGAAGCCATTGGTGGCGGCCACAATCTCCGCCAACGTGAATTCCTGGGTTCCATGGGGTACTATCTCTACGTCCTGGAAAAGGGACCACGAGAATGAGCACCCTTGTACATTTATTTTCCAAAAGATTGTCTGCATGGAGTGATGTACATAGCCTTAACAGCACCCATGTAAGTAGTACTCCCTCCGTTTCTTTTTACTCCGTGTATGAGTTTTGGTCAATGTCAAACTATATTAAATTTGACCAAATTTATATTAAAAAATATGAACGTCTACAATACTTAAACTATATAATATGAAAATACATTTCATGGTGCATCTGAAAATGTTGATTTCATATTATGAATGTTGATATTTTTTAATATAAAGTTAGTCAAACTATGCAAAGCTTGACTTTGACAAAACCTTATATGCATATTAAAAAGAAACGGAGGGAGTACATATCAAGCTTAATATCATCTTTATCGGAGAATATTGAGGTTGTACATACCTGCTGCAGCTGGGACAACCGTGGTGGAGGAGGTGGATACGATGGTTCACCTCCAGTGGTGGCGGAGTCATCCGGGACTAGGACGTTGTAGATTCTCTCGAGGCGGCGAGTGATGCCGATGTGGCTGATCACGGGGAAGAGGATGAGGTAGGAGTCGATCCTGCCCTGAATCTCCCTGAACCTCTCGGCCGTCCTGCCGGCCATGACGAACTGGTAGGCGGCGCTCCTCCCCTGGCAGGATACGACGAGCTCGTGGGCGTCCCGGAGCACGTCGCCCAGCCCGGCCAGAGGCCACGCCGTTGCCTCCGGTTCGTCGGCCAGCTGCACGTGCGGCAGCAGCTGCGCGATCATGAGGACCCGGCGCGCCAGCTGCTCGCATTCCGCCCTGTTCTGCCGAGCCGTCAGCGCGGCCTGCATGGTCATGGAGATGAGCCCGCCCACGTCCGCGCCCACCAGCTGCGCCACCGTCGCCGCCTGGCCCAGCCCCGTCCACAGCGCCATGGCCGCTGACCGAAGCTGCTACGCGCAGTGTTCAGAGGCTCGCGAAAGGGTTGCGTGGGTGACCTTTGATTCACGCTAAGATTCCTCCAGAGTCCAGAGAGTTGATTTCCACGGCGGGGCAAGCCGTTGAGTCCGCTTTCTGGTCATGGTTTGCGGCCGAGGCGACCACGGCAGCTTCCGCGAAATTCCCCGGAAGGCGAAGGGTTTATCGTCGTGCGCGCCTGACTTGGACGGCTACTCGTCACCTCATAACAACCACAACGATGTTAGTGCGGCATCTCCACCAACATCTCTTTGAGAGAGGCCACGCGCGTCGCCGCCGTTTGCGAGCGCTGAGTGCATGGAACACAAGGAGACGTAGGTGTCGAAGTAGTAGAGATGTCTCCGATTCTCGTTTCTTTTCAGCTGGCGGTGAGGCTGACGAGTCACTCGCTCAGCTACCTGCCCGTGTCTTGTCTTTGCTCAATTGAGCTCACCTTGCTGTAGTCTAGTGTGAAAGAAGAAGGAGAAGAAAGGGTTGGCAAAGATGAAGTAGAGGATAGGCCTCGATGATGATCGATGACACATCTCTGCATGAGTGAAACTTGCTATCAGCTGAAACTGAGAAGGCGTTGAACTTTTCGCGCTTGTTCCCAGACCAAGCGAAACACCCAAAAAATATTTGAAAACATGAGCATTTTTTAAAGAGGTAATATCATCGAGAGTCATGGAACTTGCGCCCGATGTTCAGTTTAGTGCTAGAATTTTGAAAATACGAATTTCCAGTCATTTAACTTCACTCAAGCATGCACATACGGTCACAAAATATGTATGTGGACGTATTAATGTGGAGGTAATATCATCAAAGATTATAGAATTTGCATTGAATGTTCAGTCTGGTGCTAGAATTTTGAAAATACGGATTTGTGGTCACCTAACTTGCGTTCTCATGCAAATACGGCCATTTTATCCCGGACACACCATGTGGCATGACTGGAACCATTTTTTTTACAGAAACACCCCTGCTTTACTTTTCATTGCACAGAAACCCCCTCATCAGCACATGCGGGTCACACTTGATAGAGAAATGAGAAATAAAAAGGCCGAGCCCATGTCACGCTAGACAGAGAAATGAGAAATGAGTTGAGCTTGAGCCAACACTAGCTCGCTCAATCTTAGGTCGAACTATCATACATTGAATGTTATTGTTATATATTAAAAGGAAATAAGATAAAATATCATTGTATGTTGTGTAAGCCTTCATTTTATCTACAAACAAACAAACATGGAACAGTAATAAACATATAGCAAATTTACACCTTAATATGGTACATGGTCGATCCTCAAAAAAAAAATGGTACATGGTCTATCATGTGCTAAATATGCTGGTATGTTTTGACCAAAGTTCAATAGCAGATGCACCCTCTTATGTGTTCTTGTTATTGTGGCATAGCTATTTAAAAAAGGATTTACATTATGGAAAATTTTATTGTCTCATTTAGCTCTACACTAACTTTCAGATATCAATGCAAGAGCCATTTCTACAGCTCAACCTTGATCTTCTCTCAGATTTAGCTTGGTCATATTTTAGTATGAGCTGAGCTGACACTAGGTTGATCCGTTCGAATTCAGCTCGTTTGTAGCTCGGGCACAAAATATACATGTGTTAGGAAAACAAAATGGCTAAAAAATCAATAGATGCATGACTCAGCCCACAAAGCACACTTGGCAAGATGCCAGTGCCACGTGCATGCTGATGGGACAGGCGTCCTCCTCGCACAAAGTTGTCGTATCACCATTGACACATGGCGCACATGAAAGAAGGGTCGAGCGCCACCTCGCATTCCACATTTTCTTGATGCTCATGTATAAGAGTGTTCATTGGCTGGCCGCCTCTTTGGAAAACACAGGTGCAGAGAAGAAAAGTATGTGCAAAAAATGGTGTTCACTCGCATGTGATTCATGGAGTCGCCGCTGTCCGCCGGCATCCTGCCTCAAACGTTGTCGGTAAGATCACAGGTGTGTCTTCCAGCTCAAGCTATTTACTATCCAGTACACTTCTTTAATCTAGTTGCCATGTGCATATCAGGTGGAGCTAGGCTTTACGCATCTAGCCACACGCGCGAGGCCAGGAGGCGGAGGAACTAGCCATGACGCCGAGTGGCTTGGAGGTATTTGTTGTTTCCTTTCTTTGATTGAGAAGTTTTGGTGTTTTACTTCTTTTCATGGATTCTTGAGTCTTATCGGTTAGCACCAGAAAGTTGGTGGGTTAAACGGACATGGTTCCACTTCCAGCTTCACCAGCTCCTATTTAATTTGAGCATGGCTTCTCCTATACTCAGTTCATTTTCTTAGAAGTTATGTACAGAGCCTTGGATTAATTCAGTGCAAGCTTATCTTCTCTAGATGAAATTCACTTATATAGTTACATGTGTGTATTTTTTTTAGAATTGTGCCTAGAACTACATTGACCACTTGATAAGGAAACACTCGGAATAGCAGAACAAACAAACTGCCACCGGAGGTTGTTGGTTTGAGTACATATTTACACATTATTTAATGTCTGCAGGTCTCACACACGGTTTATGTCCCTCGCCAGATGGTTACTCGAAGAAGTTACATCACCATGCAAAAAACACGTACACTTCTTCTCACTTTTGTGGGCGTTGGATAAATCTGAGGATGCATCGACACCACGGTTTGACCAAACGCCTTCAAAATATCATTACTAAGAAAGACACTACCAGTAGCGTTGGTGTTTTGCATACCGGTAGCGTGGGTTCCCGCGCTACTACTAAGGCGCTACAGCTAAATTTTAGCAGTAGCGCGTTTTTTACCCCGCACTACAGCTAAAAAGTTAGTAGTAGTGTGGTGCCACCCACGCTACCACTATTCCCGTGTCTTGTCTTTGCTAAACTGAACTCACCTTGCTCTAGTGTCTAGTGTGAAAGAAGTAGAAGAAAGAGTTGGCAAAAATGAGGAAAGGCCTCGATGATGATCGATGACACATCTCTGCATGAGTGAAAGTTGTACCATATGAAACCGAGAGGGCGTGGAAGCTTTCGCGCTTGTTTCCAGACAAAGCGAAACACTACTGGATTATCAGATCGATTTTGTCCGGGCGCCAATCGCTAATCTACATACGTCTGCTATGGAAGAAAAGATTTAGCAAAAGATGGATAAAGCGACGACGCATATCCATCAATCTCTACCAAAAGATGAGAAGGTGTTGAAGATCGTGTTGTTTCGGGTTCAATTGTAAGCAAATTAACGTACGAAATCCCAACAACTCTGTTGGTCCCATACAAAATACGGGCATGCTTTGAGTATCGAGTTAATACCACAATTGATACATAAACTTATAGGGGTGGGAACAGTATCATACAAAAACTATAAAACCCCACAAAACTGCTCCTCCAACTTGTCTGCTGTAACAAAATCATACAAAGAGCTGTGGAGGCGACATTTGGCATTGCCACGTTGGCTGTGGTAATTTTGCAGAAAGGCCATCAGTTTATTTTTTGTACACCGCGCTCCTCTCTCCCCTCCTACCCGTTCCCCGTTTGCCAATCCCTAGCCCCGAGCTCCTCTCTGTCCACTCGGCCGCCGCTCCTCTCTGTCCACTCGGCCACCGCCCCTCTCTGTCCACTCCGCCGCCGCTCCGGCCACGGCGCCGCCGTCCTCTTGCTTCCACCGCCGGCTCATGCGACATGAAGGGGTCTCCATCTTCAGGATGGAGGGAGCAGGTAGGACGCCGTGGGTCAGGGGCAGCGCCGTCGTCTGGCCAACGTCTTCCGCTCCATGGATGTGACCTCACGGGCGCCGACAAGACGAAGGGCGGTGAGCCCTGGGCGAAGATCACCGGCGAGGTGCGCTACATGGATGTCGATTGTGTTGGGAAACGTTGCAAAAAATAAAAATTTTCCTACGGTTTCACCAAGATCCATCTATGAGTTCATCTAAGCAACGAGTCATGGGAGAGAGATTGCATCTACATACCACTTGTAGATCGCGTGCGGAAGCGTTCAAGGGAACGGTGATGATGGAGTCGTACTCGCCGTGATTCAAATCATCGATGACCAAGTGCTGAACGGACAGCACCTCCGCGTTCAACACACGTACGGTATGAACGACGTCTCCTCCTTCTTGATCCAGCAAGGGGGAAGGAGAGGTTGAGGAAGAAGGCTCCAGCTGCAGCACGACGGCGTGATGATGGTGGAGAGGCAGTACTCCGACAGGGCTTCGCCAAGCACACAACGGAGGAGGAGAGGTGTTGGGGAGGGGAGGGGCTGCGCCTTGGATCAGGTATTCAGCCCTCCCCTCACCCCTCTATTTATAGGGGAAGGGGGAAGGAGGCCGGCCATTTGTTGGAATCTGGGCCCGCCATCGCTTCTTCATAGTTCGAAGGTTCACCATTGTCTAACAACATGATTTTCAGGACAGGGTTGCCATACCACTCTGGTGTGGAACGTGTCCTTGTGGACCTACGAAGTTCAGTAGCAACTTGATCAGAAGTACCTTGATCATCATCATTAATTTCCTCTCCACTCGGTGTAGGCACCACAGGAACGTTTTCCTGAGCTGCACTACTTTCCGGTTCAAGAGGTGGTACTTCATTGAGTTCTACCTTCCTCCCACTTACTCCTTTCGAGAGAAACTCTTTTTCCAGAAAGGATCCGTTCTTGGCAACGAAGATCTTGCCCTCGGATCTTAAGTAGAAGGTATACCCAATGGTTTCCTTAGGGTATCCTATGAAAACGCATTTTTCCGACTTGGGTTCGAGGTTTTCAGGTTGAAGTTTCTTGACATAAGCATCGCATCTCCAAACTTTTAGAAACGACAGCTTAGGTTTCTTCCCAAACCATAATTCATACGGTGTCGTCTCAACGGATTTAGACGGTGCCCTATTTAAAGTGAATGTAGCTGTCTCTAGAGCGTATCCCCAAAATGATAGCGGTAAATCGGTAAGAGACATCATAGATCACACCATATCCAATAGAGTGCGATTACGATGTTCGAAC